GAAGCTACAGCATAGTGAGATGATAGAACCATGTTATGTTCTTGCTGTCTTTCCCTCAGAATTATAGAATTCTTGTGGGTGTACATTTTATAAGATTGGGTAGATCCCAGTCATGTTTGTAGGAGTTGCGTGGAAAAAGTTTCCTGTCACTGCCGGGAACTACATCTGGACCATTTCACATATTGGCTTCCCTGGACCTGTTCTTATGGGAGGGGGGAGGGGATACACCCGCTGCATGACATGACTAAAAGGTGAGAAATTGAATATTTTTCTGAAATCAGATGTGTTGGCCCGAACGGTGCACAAACTGAAACCAAAACACAATGTGCAAACTGCTTTGGAGGTGGGGTGGGGGGGTGCAGAAGACCCGAACCATTGTTTAGTTAACAACTTCACTGACCAGTATGTTCCTAGGCTCAACAGTAGACTTAGCTTTAGTTTATTTGTTGTCAATAGTTGCGGTTGTAGTGTTAAAGTGTTATAATTAGAGAATATCAATTTCAGTGGAGGATGGAAATATGGATCTGTGCAAATTGCAGGAAAATGGCTAGGAATTTCCAGTCCATATGGGTGAGTTTATTTTGTGATGCTATGTTTAATCTTATATAGTTTAACAGTCATCATACCTTTTCACCTGTGTTATGTACCATAAATGATTTTATAAGTAGTCATGTTATACCATACATCTTCACTGACAAGGTACATCTTCACCAGCATCAGGTAAAAAGCTAGGTGGATAAGATAGTAGGCAACATTTATGGTGTCCCATGACTGATGATGATGATGATGTATGTTTGTCACATGGGTAATGATCTTATCATGTGTTTGCTCCTAAAACTCAATGACATCACATGGCAGGCTGTTAACAGGTACAGTATAAGTACAGAATCACATGACTGTAGTGAAGATATGTGGTGCTGGTGAAAGTGTACATTGTCACATGACACCATATATCGTCACTGCAATGATATCGTACCCATACTGTACCTGTTAACAGCCTGTCATGTGATAAATTAGATTACCAGTGTCACATGACAACATACATCATCAGAAGCTGCGGTCTTGTGACACCCTAAATGTTCCCTACTGTCTTATCCATTTAGCTTTTGCATACCATAAATTTCATTCATTCACTTCAGGATAACTGGACACTCACAGTGCAGATGTAAGGTCATTTTTATAAAGGACTAACCCTTTTGCCCCGGAAATGCTAGAAAAATGAATTCCCCCTAAAAATCCTTGCAGAAACAGTTTTACACCGTTGACTACATTAAAAAAAATTTTCTGAAATATATAAAGATATTTAAAGAGAGTAACCAGTAAACACACACATTCACGAGAAAACCTCTGTAAATATTTTCACATCCTGACTCATAAAAACTGCACTGGCACAAGCATACAACCGGTAGTGTTAACTACGTCTCATAAACATATCACTGTAGAAATGCCAGGTAAGCTGCATTCTCATTGGATTGGACCCTACCAGAAGTGCCAGGATTATGGCTTCCCAGTCGAAAAGACAAATTTTTCAGTTTTTGTTGTTGTTTTGACTTTTAAAAAAATATGTATAAATTTGTTTAATGTTCATTTCATTGTCCGCCCTGTGGCTAAGTCAATGCGAATGCTTCGTAATGTCGGGTTCGATCCCAGCTGCGGGCCATGTGCCTTGCGTGGGTTTCGACAGTGGTATCAAGAAAGCCAACCGTCCAGAAAGCAGTGGCAAACTACTGGACGTAAATTTGCCTAGAAAAACCACACAGCAGCCAGGGGCTCTTGGGATTGGTTTTGCAACCTCCTGTAAAGCATACGCAACTAACCTTTTATTTCGTTGTGATCAAGTAAAGCACATTATGGTATATTTATTTGTTATCTCAAACAACTAGGGTTTAATTGACTTAGTGTGTTACTTTACTTATTGAACAATTTTACTGTTCTATTTGCTTTATCACAGGGGTTCTCAAACTTTTTTTCGCCGTGGCACCCTTGTTTGGCTTTAACAAAATAATTTGCAGCACAGCTACCCTTCAAGCTATTTAATACTTAGGGAAAGAGAGTGCAAATTTAATTTTCAGTTGTCTTTAATGCAATGAACAAAACTGTTAGGATGAATTTTTCATTATTGCCGCGGCACCCAGTTTGAAAACCTCTGCTCTATTATTTAGTTTCACATGGCCAACAACCAACCAATTTTAACTCTTTCAATCCCAGGGGGTTTAGCATCAGAGGCCCAATAATAATTGTAGCATAAAGCAACAACAAATAACTGCGTTAGTAATTAAAAATTAGCAAATTAACAAACGGTATGTTTACAAAAATTAGTAAGATGAAATTAAAAAAAAAATTCCACTTACCACCATGGCACTCAAGAAAAACTGGTTAAAATTTGTCCAAAAGGAATCACAAATGAATAAGAACCACTTAGTAATAAATAAAATATAAACTTTATCTATACATTAGATTTTGTTCCAGAGAATCTTTTAAAGCATCATAACAGAGCACTATTATTTGGTAAAGAAAACTGACTCCCAAAACAATAAGTATCTTCACACAAAACAAAGTTTATTTAACATTCAATTCACCTGTAATTTTGTTGCCATGTACCTAAATAATAAGGGAAATAGCACTAGAACTAACTGACACTGAAGCAAATTGTCTTTTCACTAATGTTTATTCTATTTGTGCCAGCTGACTTTGATATTGTTGTACCCTTTGCATGAGGTACACATGAGACATATCCCTCATCAAAGTTTGACTCTATAAATGACTGAAACACGCCTAATTCGCAACGTTATCTATCTAACTTCGAATAAATATTTTAAAAATGTACTTTATTCAAATTTTAGGCTTCTAAGGCTGTAAATCACGTTGGCATGCACTTAAAATCATGCAAAGAACTTGGAAGGAGGTTAAAATTTAGCGGTATGCGCTTAACAACCGGTCAGTCGTAGATTAAAAACCTTTACTTGTCACGCCTCGATTGGGGTGCTAGGTTGAAACAAATTAGCAGGTGATGCGTTCCCTGGGACTCAAAGAGTTAAGACTCAACACATACGTTTTCCTACTGTGCACAGCATAATTATGTCTCTATTTATGTGTATGCAGTGTTGCCATTGGTACTAATCCATCTTTAACTTAATTATGCTCATTATAGAAATGATTGCTTGGCTTAGTGCAGTGTGCTACACTAATTCACATTTCACTGGTATTTGTAATGAATTATGGCTTCTTTCTCTTGTGGTTCATGAAAGTTGATAGAAAACGTCCTTGACAGCACAACTGTATATACTTTTCTAAAGAAATCTTTGGTATTTATTTTAAGACTTTGAGTCAGCCACAAGAAACTAGTTGTGGCACGAGTCCCTAAAGTAATATCACAGTCTATCTCATACTTCTTGTAAGGGTTTTTATTGTGTGCCATTTGTGTGTAAGCATTTTGAAGGAAACAGCAAATATAAGAAATGGGTACAAACAAGGTCTGTTTAGCACATTTAAAGAAGACTGGGTGTCTGCCTAACCTACTGAGCATTATTGAGTCTTCCATACATGCATGAAAGGTACAGTCACGTTGAGTTGAGTCAAGAATTGACATTGCAGCACTCGGGGCATTCCCTTGTGTGCTCCGTCCTCATCTTCAGCAGCCAGCGCAGAGTTCCAATACTGATGGTACCTGTAGGTACAATGGCATGTGACAGTGTAACATCAGAGGAGTTTGTAATCAACGATGTAGTGAAGCGTGTGTACCTGCTGCAGCTCTCTTTGGAATATGCATCTCACTTCTTTAGAAGTATACCTTTCAAGATCAGGAGGTTGGTATATTCTTGATCTGATGGCAGTCTCTGCAATGCTTATAAGCTTAAAGCCAAAACCAGGATAAGGGAGGTAGTCATCAGCAGTTGCTGTTTTCATGTTTGCTCATGCAGGCCGTGGTCAGCAAAAAAAAAAAAAGAGACAAAGATTATGGTAGAAGGTATTTACGTTAGACCTGCAGTCTACATCAATGGTCAAGAGCTGGAGACAGTTGACCATTTTACACATCTGGGATCCACAATATATAACAAACTATCGCTGATAGTTAAATAGGTTAGTTAGTTGCTTATCCTTTACAGGACGTTGCAGAACCAACCTCAACAGCCACTGGCTGTTGTGTGGTTTTTCTAGGCAAATGTACGTCCTATAGTTTGCAATTGCAAGAACAGGTGTTATAACAGTTTCTCAATGCTCAGTCTATGACGGCTCAGGTGGCTGTGTAGCACCTGGAGAATGGAGGATGGTTGAGTTCCTAAGGACATCCTTATGGTGAATTATTGACGGCCTCTACTACAGTATAAAAATGTGTGCAAACAGGACACATATAATGAAGGTATTGAGGTAGATTTGTGAGAACAAAAGGCTGTAAATAGTGCATATCAGGGAGGGAAAGATAATTGCAGAAAGGATTAGAACCGAACATCAGAGAAGCAGCACACTGGGTACATGTGATGGCAATAAAGATCCCTTTACAGGCCTTAGGTGCATTGGGTATATGGAAAAAGCATCCCATATTTTTACAGACCAATCTGCACTAGGTGGTTAATGTGGTCAGCATTACGCCAGCCGTCTTTACTTCCCCTAGACAGCCGTCCTAGTACCCATTTTAGGCTGGGTCCACCTGGGCGCCCCATACCATGATAAAAATCCATGCAGCCAGCACTGGGTTTCGATCGCGGTACATTGCAATTACGAGTCTGACTCACAACACCTAAGCTATGTGGTGGCAATGGCAGACCTGAAACCCCATTCTCTAATTGTGGAAGACTTATTAATGCGGGTGGGTATTGCTAGTTACACTGGTCATCACCATGGGCTGTGAGTCCTGTGCCTCCTCATAGCACTATATTACGCTATAGTCTGAAAAGAAGGAAAAATTCCAACAATAATGAGTACAGACACATCTCTTAGGTGTAGAGAAGTTTGATAACTTTGTGTGCATACATGTCATTCAACTTCTTTTTGGTTCACAGGAAGAACATTTCTCCCAGCCTTACAGTTTACCTGTCTTACATGATAAAGCATGTATGGATCCTGTGTCTTGTGCTAAATGTCAGGAAGAATGGTAAGAACATTGTAGTTAGTTTTGCAGATTCTTTAGTTTATATTTCCTGAAAGTATTTACATTTCGTTGTTGGGCCCAACGCAAAATCTTGCAACATTTTTCTTTCATGCAGGGGTAAAGGAATTTGTGTATCCATGTGAGCCAGAGAAATGTGCCAGTAGTAAGGTTTCTTACAAGCTGAATAAGTCATTTTTAGTTCCAGACAATTCTTTTATGAACAAACTCTCTTTTGGTGTTTAACTCCTTCCAACCTAGACAGTTGTTTTGAACGCTCATTCTGTCACTGGCAGTTGCTACTCTGTTTACCTCTCACCCATGTGTGTGTAGTTCTAAAGTAGTAACAGCATGGGACAGAGAAAATCTTAGAATAAGTATGTGATGTATTGAAGAACCATCTATTCAAGCATGGTGCGTTACCTGTGTACTAAAAGTTAGTTGCGTATCCTTTACAGGATGTTGCAGAACCAACCCCAGCATTTTTTGGCTGTTGTGGTTTTCCTAGGCAAGTTTATGTCCAGTAGTTTGCCATTGCTTTTTGGACGGTTGGCTTCTCAATACCACTGTCAAAACCAATGCAAGGCCTGCAATGGGATCATACCCGGTACCCCAGCATTACAAATCCGCGCTCCTAACGTCTAAGCCACAGACGCCAACTTTCCTGTGTACTAAAAGAGTTGATTTTACCTCTGGGGCTGATAGTTGATAATTTGGCTCAATGCTGACTTGATTAGCTGCATATTAGATGTTAGTCCAAATAGAAGCAAATACATCATTCAGCCTTTCAGTGTGAGGTTAATTGAGGAACCCTTTGGCTATACCAGGTATTACATTGATGTACTCTTCTTCTTCTGTTGAGAACTACATTTATAAAAAAAAATGTAGGCTAGGAGTCATCTAAGCTTATTGAAAGCAGCATCCCTGACATAAATGTCTGCTACCAACTAAAGCATTCATGCTTTTATGTTTTTACTTTATTTCAGTGAAGCCATGGAGAAGGAGGAAATTGAACTTGAACAGAATGAAATAGAACTGTGTTTTTTTGTCAAAGACTTCTATAGTTGTGAAGAAATAGTGTTTTCTCAGGAGCAGGAGGAAAGACTGAACTTTCTTCTTGATAAGTGAGTTGACTGTCATCATCCCCAAACATTTGTACTGTGTATACCATGCAGGGCATTTTAAAGGTTCATTGCTGTATTTCTTGTTCTTTCTTCGTGTTCACCCGCTGTAAACTCCGGCAGAATGTTCTGGTTGTTGTTCCACCTCTGGACTTTAGTCCTGTTCCAGGACCTGAGTGTTGCATGCACATCCGCTTAACAGATCTGACTTAATTGTATGCAGATTGTTGGTTCCTTGCCTCTCAGGCAGATGCACTCCGACTTCGAAGGAAGCCCTCAGTCGGTCGTCTAATTTGACATGCTTGTTAGAGAGGCAGTGGGTCTATTCTTGTTTTCCCTATAGTGAGGCCCCGGAACCCACACAGGGATTTGCTGGATTTGCTGCAAAAGTAAAAAGTAACTTTTTTTTTGTCTGTATTACATTGGACATATGGTGCTAGACCCATATTTTATAGCCCAGTTGGCACTGTATATGTTATGTGGCCTGCATCGTGCCAACCACCTTTATTTCCAATGGCACTCATTATCGGTAGGTCAGCTTTGGAGCCAGGCTGATTTTCAAAAATCCATGCCTAACCATACACCTCTCACTAGCTAAACAAAATGGCAGGTTACTTGTATTCTACTGACCAGGTTGTGTTGCAATTTTGCCTGATCGTGCTTGTTTGGATGGCATGCTTTGTTTCATAGATGGTGTTTTTGTCCATGATAAAATCAGTTTCGCTATTTAATTGTCCGGTGATGTATTTGAACAGTGAATGTCTGCAGTGAGATTGGAAAAATCTTGAAGATTACATATTAGTGTGCATTACAGGCAAATGTTGCATGTTGTTGAAAATGGTCACTTTATTTCTGGAATCTGATTGTTTTGGGCCAGCACTGCTAAAACATTATAGAACAGTATTTTAAAAAAAGGTAAGGACCACTTTTTTCCACACCTTTACGTGCATTGGGCGCAAAGGGCTAGACCCTATATTTTATTTTTAGACCAGTCAGCATTGAGTGGGTGTTGTCACCATCTGGACTTGACATGGTACCCATTTAAGGCTAGGCAGACCTGGGAGCCAAGTCCGGCTCCACATTCGGATCCACAGATGAGCATCTTAACTGCTACACCACAGTAGCTCTCCTTATAGACAGTAGATATGTCTTTCTACTGAGTGATGTATGGCCAATTATAAAATCAAACCAAGTTTCTGAATTTTTGGAGATATGGAAGAATCGATTGTGTGTCATGGAAACAAAACAAATACAGAGGTTCTGAAGATTTGGGAATGACAAGATTTGCTAGAAATAAAAGACGTTTAGAAACAATACTATGGGAAAAGTCAATGGCAAAAGGTTGAAAGTGAAACAAGCAGGAGGAGAGTATCAAAAGGTAGGCAAAAAGCAGAATGAGAGAGAGAGTACTAGTAAGACAAGAGACAGTATGTGTTGAAAATCCATTGCCGCCAATCTGCATTGGGGGGATGGCATGTGATTGATTGATTGATTGAATTACCATATTTTGTTTCCATATAGTTTTTATTTTAATTCTGCTTTCACTGCAATATTTCATGAAATATATCTTACCTAGACTCTGTAGCAGAGGTCCTCACCAGCTGTTCCTGCAGCTGGAGTCCCATCTCCAGGATGTCGTGTTGGGGATCAAAACAAACTTGTTGGTCAGGTTAAAGGAGCGTGACATTGCTGCATCAGAGTTGGCCTATAATTTTACCAGCTCGCTGTTGTCACATTATGATCTGTTTACCAAGAAAGCTTGCCTTTTTGCTCAGTATCTGGGAGAGTTGGTAAGTTTCGTTATACTGCTGTTATCATTGCTGGGATTTGTTTTATACCAGCTTTCATTTTTAGATTAGTTAAATGAGGAGCGGCACCGAACAGTTAACAACTCTGGGCTGTCAGGCAGGAGACACAGCTTTGACTTCTCAGTAAGGTCATGGATTTTTTTTTCTTTCTGACGGGCAAAAATAAAAATCTTATCATGCTCAAAGTGGTTGCCCCCCTCCCCCACACTGTAAAAGTGGTTTAAACAGGTAGTAATTGGGATTTATTAGGGGGGGGGGGAAGCAAAATCACTCAAAAACAAATAAGGTTACTTTGTGCCCAACAAAACTAATCAGGAATGCTAACCTGGTGAACAGATGCTGATGAACTCAGATGTGTTGATCGAAAGGCACAAATATCACAGCTGTGTTGTAAACAGGCACAGCACACAATTACATCACTCGGGTGGACAATGAAATAGTAGTAGTTTCAGAGTGCAGTTTTCAGCGTTTACCAGGGTTCAATTTCTTTGGTGGGTTGTTTTTGATTTCTGTTTTGGGTGGCTTGGAAAAAGACAGTTCTCATGGCTTTTAGACAGTGGCACGCGAATCCCACATTGGAAGAAATTTTTCAAAATAAACATTTTCATACAGGCAAGTTCACTGCACTCGCTAAATATCAAAGACAATGTGTGTTCTGCACCATATGAATACGCTGTTGTTGAAATTTCAAAATTTTCTCTAATTTTGTTGCACCTCAACCACATAGATTTGAGTGTACTGGTTAGCAAAGAGGGCTCACAGTTATAGTGCAAGGATTAGTCTCCCCCCAGTGGGGGCAGGATAATTTTTTCTTCAGGCTAATACATTTTTGAATCACTCTGGCCTTGTCTACTTCTTGCAGTCATATCTGATGATTATAGCATCAGGCAAGTTCTGTTTTGACAAATTTGACAGTTTGTTGAATTTACTCTGTAGTTCCATATAGCCTTTAATTTTGTGTTTTCATTGGGCCAGAATATCTTTCTTAGCTCATGCAATACATGCTTCAGCCTTTTATATAAGTAAAGAACCCCCTTTTTTGAGAAAACCTGAGGACAATATAACTAGAATGTCTGTGCAGTGGAACCCACAGGGGCATAGAAGTAAAGGCAGACCAAAAACTAATGGATAAGGGAGCTAGAGAATGAAGTTAAAAAAGATAAAAACATGGGGGTGAAAGTGGTAAAGGATGGAATGACTTGGCATGAGCTGAGGGCCTGTGCTCCACTTGGGGATACAAGAAAGAAGGAAGGAAGGAAGGGCCCTTTTCATGCCAAAGGTGCAATGATCATACATCATGCTGTTCACCTTTACTTTCCAGTACATTACCGGGTACCTCTTTTAAGTTGAGTTGACCTGGGAGCCACTGTTAATTTTGAGAAAGAAAAAATTCGCCTTGATACAGATTTGTTTCCTAGACCTTTGGGTCAGCAGGTGGGCGTCTAGCTACTACACTACCGTGGCTCCTAACTGTGTCAACTATGTAGAGGTTCGACATAACAGCATTAAGGCCAAGCCCGTTTTAACCTCATTTCCCGCCTTAACAGCCAGTGAAAAGTCTCCATACTGGCTGTACCCATTGTCATCTGGTTAACTATTCATCAGACCTTTTCCTTGAGTCTCGAGTGGCACCCAGAGTCGCAGTTCCGATCAGTCTTGTATAATGAACACTTGAGACTGTTCTGGAAAGGAACTATAGTGATGACCAAGTCAGCTCACCTCAGTGTCATGACTTAATCTTTGTTTCTTCATGTGTGTGTGATATTTATTTAATCCTGTATATACTTTTGTTTTAATCCATTAGCTCTGGTAACTCTTTAAAAAAAGGGGGGTGAGGGGGTAGTGACCCTGGGGGATTTTCAGAATAAATCCACTAGTACAGGTCTGTTCAACTAAGTTTACTCAGGGGCCAACATTTTTCAAATGGGGATTGTGACAGGCCAGAGGGCAGAGCTCCAGCATAGAAAGATAATTGATAGATCACAACTGGCGGTGATCCATAGACCATTTGCTAGACCTCAGAGAGCCACATTCCGCCCGCTGGCCGCCAGTTGAATAGGCCTGCAGTATCATACATTTGTTTAAATTTATGTGCAATTTTTTTTTAGAGATGTATAAAGTGAGTAATCGGTTATCCTGGACAGTGAAGCATTTCTTCTTCGCGTTCACCAGCAAAAAAGTTCAGGTTGTTCTCGGGGAAAGTTTGGTTGTTCATCCACTTTTGGACTGCAATCCTGTTCCAGAACCTTAGTGTTGCATGTGCATCCATTTTACAGATCTGACTCATTTGTATGCAGACTGCTGGTTCCTTGCCTCTCAGGCAGATGCACTCCGATTTTGAAGGAAGCTCCCAATTAGTCGACTCTTATGACATGCTTTTGGGTAGACAGGGGGTCTACTATTTTTTCCCTATAATAGGACCCCGGAACCCACACAAAGAGAGTAAAGCATTAAATGGTATACCTTCACCAGGGCCTAAAAGTATATGTATCAGGTGACTCATGGCGTGACCCTGTGGCCCCTATCATTTATGGCTTACATGAAGACATCTGCTTGTCATTAAATAACATTTAATTGAAGGAAACCTCTCTAAATGCTATTTTTGGTTAATACATTCACATCCTGGCTTCATAAATGTTTGTACAGTTGGTGGCATGACTATATGCAGAATGTATTATAGGCAGCATGCAGTCATGGGACGTAGGCTGCACTCTTTCATGGGACGTAGGCTGTGGTGGGGGGGGGGGGGGGGTTTGTTTAGGGCTAGTTCATGTTTTGGGACCGTTAAAAGTGTGTGGAATACGTGATATCGCCTGCCGCTGACAACAAAATGCTATGTGTTGCTGGCCGGTCACTAAGCGGGACACCCCGCAACATAGGACAGGCCCTGTGACACGACGAGGCATGAATGGGAAGGAAAGGCACTCTTTCTGGGCTGGATAGCGTTACAAGCACCATTCAAAACCTGTAGCATTAACTGTGCATCTCGTGAGCATATCACTATAGACAAGTTGGAAAATGACATTTGCAGGGAATTTTCCCCAACCGGAAATTGGAAATGTCGGTTTTGCAGCTTCTAGGGGCGACAGTTTTAAGTTAACAAAAAAATGTGTTTATTAAGCATTACATTTATATTACTAATAACATTTTAAATTCTCATTTATGGTGAAAAGTGACACCTTATATTATGTTTTTGTACAGAATGACCATTTGTTGGAACTGAAACTGACCTGGGAATTATTGAACAAACATGTCTTTCACTCAGTGGTCTACAGTGATCCAGTTATTGGCAGTTGTAGGCCTTCTATGTTGGCACAACTCAGGTAACCGCTTTTGAAATGTACATTTCTTTTAAGGTTATTATCTATCTTAGATGCAACTCTGTGGCTTAGGGGTTAGAGTAATACAGATACAGGCATATAGGGCTAGAACTTTTTTAAATTAAAAGAAAAATTTGACATTTGATGGGTGGTGTTATCAGCTTCATGCCAGGCCGCCTTTACTTCTCAGGACCTTACCTGGTACCCATTTAAGGCTGGGTCAATGTGGGAGCCGAGGTAATTTTTTTTTTCAGTAAAAAATTCTGCACCGTTCAGATTTGAACCCACGATCTTCAGGTTCACCTTCTGATCTGCAGGCAAGCTTCTAGCTACTCCACCACACCGGTTCTCTAGAGGCTAAATTATAGTCTACAGAGTTAAATCTGTTTAATATCTGTTTAACAGTACTATATATATATATGTGTGTATATCTATAAATATACATATATATACGGATGCAGTGTTGTGTACCATATCATTCTAAATAACATATTTCTTTGCAGTTCTGTTTAGTATTTCTTATTCTTTGCAGCAGTTCTGTTTAGTATTTTAATGTTTTACAGGCAGTGCTCAGAGCAGTATGAGAAATCTGCTGATAATCCCTACTCCTTGGTTTTCCATCGGTTGCTCAAGCTTCAAGAAGAAATGTCTGTAGTCATTATCTTATGGAGGGAATGCCAGCAGCTTGTAGAAACCTACAGTCAAAAAGATTTTATGGTAAACAAATTTTACTTCTTACTCCCATTGTGGGTTCCGGGGTCCCATTTTAAAGAAAAAAAGAATAGACCCATTGCCCTAACTATCAAGTACAAGGTGACTAATTGGGGGAGTTTTCCTTTGAAATCAGGGGTGCATCTACCTGAAAGGCAAGAGACCAGCAGTCTGCATACCGATAAGCCAGATCTGCAAAATGGATGTGCACACAAAACTAAAGTTCTGGAACAAGATCAAAGTCTAGAGGTGAAAGAACAACCTAACTTCTGCCTGTGTTTACAGCCAGTGAATGCCAAGAAGAAGAGGAGGAAAAAGACTAGTAATACAAACACTTTCTGTGTGGATCTTCACTCCTTCATAGTTACTTAACTTGGTTCAGGAATAAAATTTCCTGGTATTCAGAATGTGTCATTCATTCCAGACCTAATTATGCATTATAAAGACTAACAAGTATTTAGAATTGACTGTTTTATTTTCCATTGTTTACACTTTAACAGTCTGTCTGTTGGTAATGTTAACATGGTGGCCATGAGATTTCTAGAGTCATTATTTTTGTGTATATAAAAATATGCCTGTAGCATATGCCCAATTCATAGAGAGGTTAGTGAGGTGTATTAACTTGAAACATATTTACTATTTCTGAATCTTTTTGGGTTTTAATGTTAAGCTAACAGACGTAACATCTTCCTGTTCCTTTTAGTTTTTCTGAGAGAAATGGAAATAAACATTCAATGCACTGTTGTGTAAATTTAAATCATACTGCACATGTGAACTGTAATGAAACAAAAATTGAAGCCTAAAATGGGTACTAGAAAAATCCCTAGGAGGTAAATATGGTCGTCATTATGTTGAAAAATCACGGTGGTTGGTCTATAAAGATATGAGTCTAGCAAAATAGGCCTGATGTGTGAAGAAGGTTCTTTCTGGTAGACAGCAAAAGCTACTATCAGAAATAGAATCCAGTGGACCTTTGCAGAACATCTTGATGACCTGGACTTTACTGCTGACAGTTCTCTCTTATCTATCCCCCTTGCGAAATTAGATGCAAGATAAATTAAACATACTTGATGAGAGATCACAACAGTAAGGTCTAAAAATCAGGAAAAAAAAAAGAAAAGACAAATTATGATGTAAATAAACAAGGCAGGTAATAAGTCAGTTTGTCCTAGTGATATTCCACTCCAAAATTTCTAGTTATACACCTGTTTTGGCTGTAATGTAGACAAAGATAGGGAAACTAATAGAGATAGTAAAATACGTTTGAGTGAGTGAGTAACGCCCAACTCCACTAGGACTGCACAATGAACGATAAACACCTAGTGACACAAAGTGCCACCAGTCGGATGAGAATCACCCAGGCACAGGTCCCAGAAACCCTGTTCAGCCATTAGGTTAAATTGGGGCCTGCGATGGCAGTCTGATTGGGGCTATAAAATAACAAAAAATGCATCTCATATTAGAATTTGAGCGTGTTGTTACAAATAGGTAAGTTGTACCCCACCAGGACATCACACAAGCCATAAACTCCTCCCAAATTGTGATCAATACACGGGTTGAATTTTCAATTGCCATTATTTCTACAATGTTTGATTTAACCGTCACATTGATAGTCAGGTTATTGTGCGTTTATATAATTTATTGTGACAGTCAGTAAAGATGAACTTTTGCTGGAGTTATATCCCTCTGAATGTTTTTCATGATACATCCCTTAAATTAGTTTATTTTTTCTCAAAGTGTCATTTTGCTGTTTTCTTCCTTGAAACGAAGACTGTAAGAAGGGGTGTTGCTTTATCGATCTTATTTGGAGTACATGAATACTCCACAGAGCTGAAACATGGAAAACAACAATTAGTAATAAACTTACAAAGATTTGGATTTGATTCAAGAACTGACATCACAGCATTTGGGGGAATTCCCCATCTTCAGCAGCCAGTGAAGAGTTCCGGTACTAATGGTGCCAGTAGCATTCTGATTAAATGTCCTACGGGACATCCATTGCCCCTTCCCTAGCAGGCAGGCAATACTAGGGTGACCGGTCATTTCCTGCAGTCTCCCGTGTGGGTTCCGGGGCCCCATTGTGGGGAAAACAAGAATAGACCCACTGCCTCCCCAAAAGCATGTCGTAAGAGTTCGACTAATTGGGGAGCTTCCTTTGAAGTCGGAGTGCATCTGCCGGAGAGGCAAGGAACCAACAGTCTGCATTCAAGAGAATAAGATCTGTAAAACTGATGCACACGCAACACTCAGGTTCTGGAGCAGGACCGCAGTTCAGTAGTGGACGAGCAACCAGAACTTGCCGCCAGAGTGTTCAGCTGGTGAACGCGAAGAAGAAGATGAAGATTTCCTGCAGTACTCTGTTTTTTCGCACATGGATTTAAAAAATAAACTACAAAGATTCATTAACCACTGCCTGTGCAGAATAGAGGGCTTTAAAAGATATGATAGAATCACTAATGTTGAGCTTTGGGAGGGAACTAAACTAATTCAGGGAATCAAGAAGTGAAGATACAATGCAGGTGTGGGATAGAACACATACTGAGAAAATCTGAAAACATTATAACTAAATTGTCTATACACTCCAACTCGCAGGGCATATAAATAAAGGCAGTCACCAAAATAACATTAAGAAGGGAGCTAGATTGTGAAATTAAATAGGATAGGACAACTTGGTCTGAGTTAGTTGAGAGCCTATGCTCCACTGGGGGGGGATAGAAAAAAGATTTGCCCAGTGAGCTAGTGGCATGAAGTTATTTTTTTAAAAAATGCTAGACAGAAAACAGCTGCTTGTTTTTTTTTTTTTAAAGCTGTTTTAAAACATGACTGTGCGAGCTCCTTAGGTATAGTTCTTCTTCTGTCTTCTATCTCCAAAGAGGCTTAGGCCCTAAACCAACTCACGCCAGGTTGTTAAAGCATAGTTAGTTGTTACATAATATTAGGACAATATTTTTTTTTTTTAAGCGGAGGCAGTTGTTGAAAGAATACCCCTTAAAGGGTCCGTCTGTGAATGAACTGTCAGAACATGCAAGAATTCTTTGTCACAGCAGGCTTCTGCAGACAGAGTTGAGCACCATAACTGCATTCCTGAAAGGTTAGTGCAAAGTTTTCTGTACTGAGTTTTGTCATATTTCCGCAGTTTAGTTTTAGATTATACGTTTATAGATTATACTAGTACTTTCTATACTTAGTTTCGTGATGTTTTCGTTATTCTTGTCAGTAGTAATATATGTTTAGTGCAAATCTTTGTGTACTTAACGAGATATTTTGTACTATTGATCATGTTTAGGTAATTTACTATATTATACTAGCACATATCTTCTGTAATTAAAAGTTTTTTAATGATGTCATTGCTTTCATCAGTAATTTGCGTCCATATTATACTGTTTACTGACTTGACTACCTTTTTTTTTTTTAAACAACTTTTTAGGGTGGTAGGAAAGAAGGGAGGGAGAGGTCATGCTTTGAGTCTGAAAATGTTGGGCCTCATGACTAGTGCAGTTGCCGTGGACCATGTAGATTAGGATTTTATTTTTCGCCGTGACAAAAAAAAAAATCACTATACCGAGGATTTGAACCTGGGACTCTCAAATGAGAGCTCAACGTTCTTACTTGCTGAGCCACCCATTACTTATTTAGGCTATATTAGTACACATATTTCTGTATTTAGAAAAGTTGTAAACTGCTTTCAGCAGTAATTTAAGTAATTTACATTTATAATTGGGAGCATCTAGACACTTGCCCACAAGACCGATGGTCTATGGTTCAAATCTGCTTCAAAGCAAAACAAATTTTTTTTTTTTATAGTTTACCTTGTCTCCGAAGTCTACCCAGCCTAAAAGGGGTACTAGGTTGTATCCTGAAATATAAAGCTGGCCAATATGGTGTAGGCCACATTACCCATATAGTGCCAGCTGTTCTGTAAAATATATGTCTAGCACTATGTCCCTGGGGAATTGTCGTATAGTGGCTAGATGCTTACCTGTAAATCCGTATGCGCTTAGGTCCTGGCGGGGCCAGACATTTTAAAATGAAAATTACCTTGGCTTCCAGGTCAACTTAGCCCTAAATGAGTACCCAGGTAAAGTCCTAGGAAGTAAAACTGGCCAACATGGAGTTTTCAGAATCACCCACTGAGTGCCGATTGGTCTATAAAATATTTTGTAGGTGAAGCCCTATGTGCCCAATACGCCTGAAGGTGTGGAAAAGGGTCCTTTACTATATCCCTGATATGTCAAAGATATGAAGAGAGTCATGTGGAGGGTTACTTTACTTCCATTTATCATTGACTAGTGCATATTTGTCCGTTCTCAGGGAGTTTGGTGATGTATTTTTTGGATGTGATGCCAGACAGGATCAGACGTCTTCCATTAATGAGGATGCTGATGACAGTCCTGGGGATTACTACGAAGATGCAGATGATGATGATAACATTGAATATAGAGACATAAGACTTGGGGATGGTCAGTCTCTTGAGGTGGGTACTGTTGTTTGTGGTGACACTTTTTGGTTTAGCTATTTCACCCCAGTACCCCTTAAAGAAACAAATTGCATGAACATGTGAATTTCCAAATGTATTTATGTATATTGAAACATTTTTTACAAGCTGTATGAAGGGGAGTGATCAGTAAACATATAGTGCAGAGAATTAAATAACTTCTTTCCTTGAGGCTAAAATATATATTCACAGACTCATGCATCCATATTACTAAAGATGAATTATGATGTCATTCTTTTTAAAAAATGCCCCTATCTTTTTTTCCCACAGGGCTACTTTTTTTTTTTATTGTAAAGATAATCATATCCATGGCTCCTAAACAATGCACAGGTGCAAACAGAACCATTCCCATGTGGGTTCCGGGGCAACATTTTGAGAGGGGGGGGGGGGGGGGGTGAAATGGTGCACTGTTCCCTTAACATGCATGTTGTACAAGGCAGTGAATTAGGAGTGTTTCCTTTGAAGTCGGAGTACATCTGCCTGAGAGGCAAGGAACCAGCAGTCTGCATACAAAGTAGACAGATCTGTAAAATGGAGCTTATGGTGCTAGACGCATAGACCAATCTGCTCTTAGTGAGAATAATTTAGTCAGTGTCGTGCTGGCCACCTTTACTTTCCAGAACATTTCCTGACATTTTTTTAGGATGGGTCAGCCCTGGAAGCCCGGAAGAGATGAATTAGAGAAATTACATTTAGTTGGCAAATCATAGGGCAGAAGAAGCAGAATCTTCTTATGGTCCACGACGAATGGCATTGGTAGTCATGTCTACTCTCAACCTTCTGTCTCGTGTACTTTCAGTGAGTCGACTAAGGTGAACAGATGGACTTCCATGTTATGATGTCAGACTGTCCAGCATCTTCTCTCTGTCTCCCTGCACCTCTTTTTATCTCCAGCTTTCCCACTGTCAGGATGTATTCCAGTTTTTCCCTTGTCCTGACATGACCGAAGAATGTAGATTGTTTCCATTTGATGTGGTCGACCAGTTCTCTTTTTGAGTTAGTTACTCTGGTTTTTTTTTGGGGATTTTTTTTTTCCCCCAGTGTGTTCTTATCCTAAGCAGAACACGGAAATATAAATGTAGAAAACTGAAACAGACAGGCTGGGTGTAATACAGACAGTTCCAGCTTCAGGAAAATATCAAATAAGATCTCTTCTTCGTATTCACTGGCTGTAATTTCTGCGTAAACATTGTGGCTGTTGAGCCACTTCTGATCTTGTTCCAGTGCTTGAGTTTTATGTGTGTGCATCCATTTTACAAAGGTGGCTTTGCAGACTCTTCTTCATTCATTGCCTCCCAGGCAGATGCACCCCCCCTTAAATGGAAGAAATTGTTGATCCTATCCCTGTTGGCCAGGAACTTCGACCATGAGGGAGAAACCCCAATTAGTTACCTCTTATAAGCTTGATGTGGGGGGGGGGCGGGGGGCAGTGGGTCTGTTCTTTCTCCAAAATGGAGCCCTGGAGCCCACATGGTGTAATAAGCGTGGATCAGAATGTTGCTAGGAGTGGAATATTCAATCACAATCAAATTAAATAGTATTTTTTTTTTAACTTTAATAACATTGTTCAAGCGGATGCTTTTAGTTGTATCTCTTTCTGCACCTCTAGATTCCTGAATGTGAATTAAAAAGTACAGATACAGTGTGGGAAGCTATTCAGCAACATCAGCAACTGCTACAACAGCAGCAGCAGCTGCTTAGAGGCACCCCGCACAGCTGTCCTCAATGTAAAGAGCAGGGTCAGCAGTGTCCGGTAACTTTATTTTTTTTTTTTTTAAATTTACCTGTTTTTGGTACGTCATTGGCAGTTGTTTTTTAGGCATTGCAAACGCACTTCGTAATTCCAAAATACCATGTTAATTTTGGCTGCAAGCAGTTTGATAGCAGACTGACTTGTGTTGATTATGACAGTGGTGCGGAACACCAACTACTAAAAAAGCAGTGGCGAGTTACTGAGTGTATAATGGCCTACTAAAATCACAAACAGCCAAAAAATGCTGTAAAAAAATGCACAACTAATTTAATTAGTAAGTCTCAGAAGTCAGTGGTCTGAAAGTGGGGAGGGGGGGGGGGGGTAACTCTCTTCTGCTTTAATCTTACCTGCTTTTAAATAATTAACTGAAGTTAACTTAATAAACTGAAAGTATATTAATTCTTCAATTTAAAAATTTTTTTTTTTTAATGTATGTCTCTGAAGTTTGTAAACTGAAAGTGGATTAGTTCTTATATTAGAGAGCTAGATTTCCATTCCACTATCCCAGCATTAGAGGGGAATAAATCACTGGAAAGGGGGGGGGGTTAATAATCCATACCGTCCACACTGAATTACACCAAGTTTCATCACTTTTGAGGTGGATAATCCTACCCCTTTGCCAACATGCGCTGGTTTGTTAAAGTTTTTCATAATAATGAACTTCCGATTGCTATATCTTTAGATGTCGTCTGAATATATTAAGAGAAGGTAGCTGTCATCTTAAGGTTTTTGACATTTATATAAAGGTTGTCTTTAGGCCCAAGGAATTCTCCTTTTTTGCATGTGTTTGACATTTTTGCACAGATATTTAGCTGCCATGTTATTAAAGATTAAGATTGTAAAGTAACATCCCAGCTTATGTAAGTTGTACCCCACCAAGACATCACAAAAGCGATAAACACCCGGTGACACGAACTGCCACCATACGGATTAGGATCACCAGTGGAGAGGTCCCGGGAACCCTGTTCAGCCGTTTGGCCATATTTAGGGCCCCCAGCACAAGCCGAGGTAGGGCTTCAAAATAACAAAAAATTGCATACCACAGGGGGATGACTTGATGTAATCCCAGCTTAACCCTTTTGCCCTGTAATCCTGAAAAAAACAAATGACTTTAAAAAATGTTAAAAAATCTGCATCCTCATAATCATTCTTTTTAAAAGCAGCAGAATAAATTTGGTGTCTTGATCAGTTTTTATAACTAGGGTTTGAACCTTTGACGGGTATACAGGAAGTCCTTATCTACTTTTATAAAATTATGTCACTAAACAGTTTTAAAAAATTTTCCAGGTCAATAAATATCTAAATCACGAAAAGGTTTAGTTCTACACGAAGGAACAAAAATCACTGAATACAAATCCTGAAAAAAATTTGCTAATTTCCATCGCTTTGACTATTTAAATCTGCCATAAATATGGAATTATGTGACATGACAATTTTTTAAAGATCATTGTCCCCCACCTCAAGTAAGGGCTGAAAAATGTGTTTGGATAAATATGTTCATGTCACCATGTCTACAGTCTATGCCAGTACCAAAACTGTCATACAGGCTTACTGTTCACTGCCCAAAGACTTGTCAGCAGAAGGCTGGAAAAAATGTTTTATTTGTTGGGGGGGGGGGGGGGGTAGATCCACTGACTGACTGTTAATAATCTTATCATAATATAGTGTAAAGGACATGAAGCAGTCTTTATGACTCAAAGATAAATAACATATAATAATTGTTTGTCTAGTTTCAAGTTAAAACAGACCCAGAGATGCCTGAACAGACGGATGGTAAACTGTCCAAGACTGAGCAGCTATCTGCAGATGTTGGTGGTGGCTGCACTGAAGCTGTTGCAGATGTGAGCGGCACAGCGGCTGGTGATGGTGCTGTCAACCCTGGGGTATGCACCACCTGCCAGTGCCATGCTTGTTTGAAGCAAAGTGGACATTTCATTTCTGCCTCATTGCCACTGCAGGTAAGTCAGCTTGTCTTATGTACTAGAACAGTGACGTTTAAATTGTGTACTTTGAGGGAAAAGAGAAAGGTCATCAGGAGTAAACATAAACAGATAAGTGATGGCTTACTGCTTTTTTGACCAGCTTGTACAGATCATCATACTGCGATGCAGGACAGGGCATAACAAACTTAAGAAGCATATGAACAGGTCTACGCCTGAGTAATTCTCTACAATGGCCACCAGACTATACGTATAAATGGCAGGACATATCCTACAAGACTGTCTGATAATACAGCCCATTAAGAAAGCAGTACTAGCCTAATGAGTGAACACTGTTGTCTGAGTTGTATGGAACTAATGAGTGAACACTGTTGTCTGAGTTGTATGGAACTAATGAGTGAACACTGTTGTCTGAGTTGTATGGAACTAATGAGTGAACACTGTTGTCTGAGTTGTATGGAACTAATGAGTGAACACTGTTGTCTAAGTTGTATGGAACTAAAGAGGAACTGGGGGAAAAAAAGTTTTAACACAGGAACTCGACTGATTATGTAAATCAGGCTCGTAATTACGAGAAGAAGAAGAATATACATTAACGGATGCTTTGTGTGTTCGTTACTCTACACTGAAAAGTGTTCTCTCCTTTGGGAATTTGTGTCCCCTTCTTTGTAAAAACTTAATTGCATTGCACCTGTTTGAAATAACTTGTCTACAGAAGGTAATTGAATAAATATAGTCTGGGTGGAGACAACACATGCATATTATAAACAAATTCACAAATTCTAAAGAAACAAGTTGACCAATAATATAAGAACTCCACAGAAACACGGCCAATCCCAAGATAGCTTGCTGCACATACATTTAAACATACTGGTTTAGTGCCCCTCATGAAGGAAAGGGTGGGGGGAGATTTAGAAGTGAGCTTCCAGGTCAACTCAGCCTTGTGGTGGGTGCAGTAAATTACCATTATGGTGAGCTTGTTTAAAGATGGAGGTAACATCGAGTAAATGAATTGACTATAACAAATCATGTGGGTGATGGTGAGGGTGTCATATTTATCAACACAGTGACTGAGCTCACTGTTTTCAGGTATTCAAGTAATCACAGTTTCAACTTCATAGCAAATAATAACCCCATAGTAGCTCTGCTCCTGTGCCAATGAAAAACACACAATGCCCATCACTGTCTCTTGTGAACAAATCTAGACTCCAGCCTCAGCAAAGTCTGTAGCATACACACGCATGAAGGCAGCCATCTGAAGTGCTACCCTAAAACTGAGAGGCACTAGAAACACAGTTCATCACCAATGGAAGCAGCAATTACAACGGATCAGTAATTGCCGCACAAGCAATTAAATGTGTACGGCACCACCTGTTTTCTAGCAACAGGCCATTCGCTGTTTTTTAAATCTGCAGTTCACAACACAAATTACTTTGGCCATTTTTCGAAAAGCATTCCACATAAAATCTGCAGCAATGTACTCAGTATCTGGGCAACAGCTATATCCATCCAGTCTACATATGTAGGAAAATGCAATGCCTAACTATTATTGTAAGAAAAAACTTGCCATGACTAAAAACGCTAAGCTAACCTGTCTGACATATTTACCGGAAAATATTTATTGTTTCCAGTATGTTTTGTATGTAATATATATTTCATATATTCAGACATACTGGGTCGTAAAATAGACCAACACTGCCCAACTCAACACTTTTAACCTGGTATCGGTTTCTGGGCTTCATTTTGGGCCCCCAAAAATAGTCTCACTGCCCCAAACAAGCATGTCATAAAAGGCGACGGGTTACAAGTTTGCTGAAATTGAATGTGTTGGGTTGAAAGGCATAGATTTCATAACCTAACTGTAAACCACACAACAATGTGCCAACGGCTCTTTAAAGGCTGAACACAGTGGAGGAAACAGATGGCAATGAACCGACAAACATGGAGAGCTATGACCTCTGCCCTATGCACTGTCCTAGGCTCAAGAGGAAAGACTAACAAACAGAAGAGGAAAAAGAAGAAGATGATAGATATATCATTCAGTGTAGTGAATTTTTTTCAGAATGAGATGTCATTAGTTTGATCATGTAATTGTAAATGCGTTTGTCGAATGACATATTCCATTTATGTACTTCACAGATACCTGTGTCCTCTCCACCTAGAGAACTGCATTTGTACCCTCACATCCATGGGCTTCCACAGCAGCAGCAACAGCATTATCTGCTGGACTTACCTCCGCCTTTACTACCCCCTATCAAACTTCCTGTGAAGTTAGATTTTGATTCTCATCATGGATTACAAGGCCACCTCTCATATATTTACAGGTACAGCATTTGTCTTCTTCTTAATGTTTACTGACTGTAAACTCCAGCAGAAAGTTCTGGTTGCTCGTCCACTTATGGACTTAAGTTTTCATCCAGAACCTGAATTTCATGTGCACATCAGTTTTACAGATCTGGCCTACTAGCATGCAGACTTTTCATGCCTTGCTGCTCAGGCAGGTGCGCTGCGATTTCGGTCAGATTTTACGTTTACTAGTTTGCCATTTTTGATATAACTCTGTAGAAATGGACCTTACGAGATACTGTGAAATATGCCAGGCAGTAAACTCTGCAGTGTATTGTTTGTTTCTGAGTTACTCAAATTTACTACAAGGAAGCTTTGTTTGAAATAACTTTCAAAGATTTAAAATTATTGTTTCTTTGTCATTAACTGGGTGAATACCGAATAAATTGAGATCAGATTAATGTAAAAGATTAGTTTTCATTAATCTTATTCTTAGACCGGAATCTTAGACATGAACAGTTTTTTATTCGGTTTGTTTTATTGACTGAAAAAATACAGAATAAATTAATACATACATACATTTAAGGTTGGTTGTCATTGGCTTTATTCGTAGAGATAACTCCCATTCATTTTGTGTGTGTTTTTTTTTAGTGTGTATGTGTTTGTTTCATTGACTGGGAGAATGCCTGGCTTGAAACACAAAAATACACCCGTGTATGTATACTCAGTGATTCAATGAGTATGATCCGGAGGGTTCAGGCAGGTTCAGTGCGAAGACAATGGCTTGAATCATTACAGAAGTCCACTGTGCGTGGAGTCACCTTTATTTTTGTTCCGGGTCACGCAGGCGTCGATGGAAATGAAAGAGCTGACAGGTTGGCTGGATCCGCTATCACTACCGACGGTCAGCCTATGGATCATGCTGATATTATCAATGCCCTCAGAGAAATGGGAAGAATAGAGGACTTTGGTGGCAGTGAATCCACATCACTCGCCAGAATCGCAGACTTGGGAATTAAGATCGGCACAGCAAAAAACGAGACGCACACCAGACACGCCAGAAGACTTGTTAATCAACATAGAACTGGTAATATTAGCCATCGGACGTTGGGGTTCATACTGAGGGGAGGATCTGAGCACCTATGGACATGTCCGGAGTGCAATGAGGATAACCCAACTAACTAACTAACAAATCCTATATAAATTGAGAGTCTAGATATATAAGATTGATTTTATTCTTTGACAGATCTCAAACATTCAGCGCTTTTGTTTTTGTTTTGTTTCAGTGACTGGGAGAATACTGTACCAGACCCTGTTTCTACCCACCATAACCATCAGCATCATCATCTTTCAGACATCAGTGCTGACCACTTTCATCCACCACATATAGTCACCACTGCCTCTCCATTTAATTTTGATCTTGCCTTCCACCTGGCAAATCACAACATGCACACTTCATCCACAAACACTACGAGTGTGTTCAAGACAGTGGCCAGCAAGCCCATCCTGGCGTCTTCTATTCTGTCTACTCTCCATGGTATAGGTCATGTGCCAACTGAAGGAAGTTCAGTCGATCCCTCACACCTGATAGATTATCCACCACATTCAAAACTCCCTCACTCATGTGTGAATCAGCCCAGTTCTCTATCTTCGTGTTCATTCTCGTCACATTCATGTTTTTGCCCATCTTTAACCACTGCTTCTTCTATTTCTACATCTACTGTGACCATGGCATCAGTAATGCCAAAATCAAATAGCTCGTGTCATAGTTCTTCGTGTTCTCGGCTGACTCCTGCTGCTGATACCTCATGCAGCAAGTGGGAAAGGAGTCAGCACTGCCGAAAATCTAACACAGTCAACAAACCAGTGCCAGTTCAGAATCATCAGCCACAACAACCTGTAGGAGCACAGCATCTAGCAGATGGAATGCAGGGCCCGTCTTTATCCACTCTACCAGACGTTCTAAAGAACTTCAACTTCACTCCAAAACACATGAACCAGTCAGCTCATCCTCCCTTAGCCAGGCCCACAGGACTCCCTGCTAACACAGTTCACTGTGCTTCCAGCACTGCTGCATCTGGACCCACCACAGGGGCTTCCAGTGACTCAGTCTCCTGCAGTAACAGCCTGTCTGCCATGGTCGCCAATATAGATGTAGGTACATCCACACCTTGTACTGACCCCGAGTGTGAGGCCCACTATGAAGACAACTGTGACAGCATTGATGATAGCTGCTCAGAGAGAAGTTCTGGGACTTCCACTTCCAACCAGAAGGAGGGAAAATACTGTGACTGCTGCTATTGTGAATTTTTTGGCCATAATAATGTAAGTGTGAATCCTGATTTATTTTTGTTTAAATATTTTGTTAAAATTCAGTGGTACTTCAGTATACATCCGCTTTGGTATATGTCCAAATTGGTATATGTCCTGTTTAGACACGAAAAACATTTTGCTTGGTATACAACCTTTGGAATGCTACTTACATGCTAGAACTTGTATAAGTCAAAATGAGTCATGGCACCACGTGCTACCCTTGTTTGCCTCCTTCATTAATGTCAAGGAGATGTTTACTGAATTGATGAACGTCAAAAACTTTGCAGATGTACCAACCCAACAAAACCCAAATGGGCTGTAACAGTGTTGACTGGAATGACCAGACAGTGTCACATTTCCTAAAAATCCTGAGAGAAGGCAGAAGCAAAGCTCTTTGGACAGATTTTGAGTAAAAGTCAAACATTTTGAGACTCAACCAGTGCCAGGTAGGGAAGAGAGACACACAAAATTAATAAAAGGAAACCCCAACAGAATTTCAGATTCCTCATGTTTTATCAGAAGGGGACTCTCAATTTGAACAGTATCTCTTCCTCCTCCCCCTTCTCAGCACCATCCTTGTAGGCACTCAATTTTTTTTTCAGCAAGGCAAAGTGAGGTTACTTTTTCATTTATTTCATCTAATTTCATTGTATTTATGTTTCTTAGTAGCAGTGTTTTCATTATTTTGTACAGTCCCATCAGTGTATAAATAAGGAAAGGATTTTTCATGGGAACAGATTAATCATTCTCTTGTAGGTAAATGTGTTTTTTAATTACCTGTTTGGTATGTATCTGAGGTTCTAGAACAGATTAAGGACATATACCGAGGCAGCACTGTATTTCTTCTTCTTCTCTCCACCTTGTACCTTAGCGAAGTGTCGGGGGACATGTAACATTAATTGATGAGCTCTGTCAAGAGCACTATTAAGACTGATGTTCATTTCTGTAAGGCTGTTCTTAATGCCATCACTCAATATTTTCTGAGGTCTTCCACTTGCTCTATACCCGTTGTAACGTTTTAGTTTGGCTCACTGTGGCAGATAATACCATGACATTCTTGTTAGGTGTCCAAACCACTTCATTTGTTGTTCTTTGATGACCTGTAAGACTGGCTTTATTCCTAGCATTTGTCTGTATTTACATTCACAAAAACCTTTATCGGTGTATCGGTTTATAAAATTAATAATGCAATTTGATCTTAGTTTGGAAAAAGAATAGGACATGAGAGAAGAGGTGGATCACACAACCTCATAAAACAGACTTGGAGACTGTTGTGACTAGCATTTCCTTGCCTTTATCAGTACCAATTGTAGATTCACCTTTTGGTTTTAGTTTATTAAGACAAAGTAATCTCAGTTTATTTTATCAGTACCAATTGTAGATTCACCTTTTGGTTTTAGTTTATTAAGACAATGTAATCTGTTTATTTTATCAGTACCAATTGTAGATTCACCTTTTGGTTTTAGTTTATTAAGTCAAAGTAATCTCAGTTTATTTTATCAGTACCAATTGTAGATTCACCTTTTGGTTTTAGTTTATTAAGTCAAAGTAATCTCAGTTTATTTTATCAGTACCAATTGTAGATTCACCTTTTGGTTTTAGTTTATTAAGTCAAAGTAATCTCAGTTTATCATAATTGTACAAACAGATCAGTAAATTAAACAACTCTTTATGTTATTTTTTTAGCCGCAACGTTCACGTTTTGTTTGTGTTTGTTATATTGTGAAGCTTGCTGATATATGTTTCATTGGGGTTTATATCTTTCCTTGATATTTTTATGTTGTTTTATAACTACAGCTTATACATTTTTTTTATTTTTTATCTTAATTAATTACTTTTCCCTGTTTTCCTTTCTGTCTGTGATTTATCTTTGAAAGAGAGCCATGAAATTGAAGGCCCTGTGATTGTATATTTGCTCTAAATAAAAAATTTAACCATGTGGCTGGGCTGGAAAAAATTTATTGGAGATGAGGGGAGGGGGTGTGGTGTGTGTGAGTGAATAATTATGTGAGAGGGAGTGAGCGGGAGAAAGAGTGTGTGTGTGTGACTTTCTCTTATTTTACATTGTACTCTGTAACCAACATATAACCATTTTGTTTGTTGCAGGGTCAGGTCCCAAAAGTAAGCACAAATTACATAGAAATGAAAGACCGTCTAAGGAAGAAGTTAAAAAAACGGGTAAGAATGAGTATGTGCCTTTATTTGCCCTTTTATCCTGCAGTGGGACATGGGCCGTCAGCAAATTCATACCAAGCATTTCTTTCTCTGGGGAGGCGCTGTGGTGTAATGGCTATATACTCATCTGTGAATCCATAGTTCGTGGGTTCAAATGTGCATGGAACCGTTTTAAAAAAAAATACTTAACCCTCCATTTCCATGTTGACTCAGCCTTAAATGGCTTCCAGAAGTCCTGCAAAGTATAGGCAGCCAGTATGGTGTTGACCACATCCCTTATTGATGGCTGATTGGTCTATCAAAATATGAAGAAAAGATATAAAACCGAACGAAAAGTATATTATTAGCAAGCTTCACAATATAACAAATACAAACAAAACGTGAACGTTCGGCTTTCGAGTCTTTATTAGCACATACACAAATCAAACAATACCACACAAATACACAAAATCACTTAGCTGGTATCTCGAAGCAGCCGGGTCAATGACTTCTCAGCAGGCTGCAGAAACATGTGGGCCCTATAGTGTACTAGGGGCCGTAACTGGGGGTTTGAGATAAAACTATGTGGGCACTTCAATCCCCTAGGAGTTAAAATGAAACTGTGTTGGCAGTTCAGTCCTTTGGGTGTTAAGGTTCCCAAAGTGTAAATAAAACGATTTTTAAGAGACTAGCTTCAAATGCCTGATGTGCCACTGATGTGTGAAAAGATGTTTATTTTTTTTTTTGGCCATCTCAAGCAACACACTCCATGTTCTTTAGATTGTGTTCACCTTTTACTCTAATTCTTCTCTGCTTGTTTTTGTTTGTCTAGACTTATTTCTTTAGGCCTTGTGAGTTTCAATGCAAGGACAGACTATGCTCGTATTAGAATTTCTCAATGTGCATCCAGTCTGATACCAGGTGGTCTTTCCCCACCTCTTCATTTAGTGGATTTTATTTAGTTCCGAAAGCTTCACATTAGTGATTCTGTCATAACATTTATGAATATTTTTTACTATCCACAATTTGCTTATCAGTTTGTTTTTGTTTCACTTTTTCTGCTCTTGTATACAAAGGATTTACTTTGTTCGTTTTAAATTATGTTAAGCAATCCATAATTGCATGGTCTTCATAATATATAAATGCAAACAGGTTGAAGCATTAAATGGAATATATTCCCCGGGGTCTCATTGCGTTCTGTGTACAGGTGACTTTCCTTGATCAAATGCCATTTTTACTTAGTATAAAGAATTGTTTGTCTGTTAGTTGCAGTGTTTCAGCAGTTACAAATCATTCCTTTGGTTGCAGCAATCAGAGATCAAACACAAACAAGAGGTGCCAAATGATGGGTTCATTCAGGAGGACAGTAAAGAGGAGCTGGATCCGCTGGAGAAGAAAGGTCTGGACGGCCTGTTGAGTTTCATCAACGGGACTGACAGAGAGGGCACAGAGAAGGTCACAGATAAAGAGATAACTGCTAAAGCTGCAAAGCGGGCTCGGCAGAAACAGAAAAAGGTGGGCTTATTATTGTAACTAAGCTTTAGTTTGTTAATTGAACTGTCTGTGTTTTTTAATGGTTCCATCATTATAGCGGGGGGAGTTTAAAAATGTTTCCATGCTTTGAGACATTTTTGAACATATGGTGATTGAGTTCCATGTTTGTATAGAGACCATATATCTTTTCAGGTGATAATGCCAGGAATATCTTATCAGACCACCTTTATTTCCACCATTTCCTGGTAACAATTTTTTTAGACCAAGTCAGTCAGCCTCTGTGTGTCAGTTTAAAAAATCATGCTTCAGTAAGTTAAGAAACAAATACAGTACATTGCGGACAGTACGCAAAGCATACATCAATTCAATCAGGTGCAGTCTCACAATGAAGGTTGGCTGGCAATGGATCTCCAACAAGCCCTGTCTCTTAGCCCTTGATGTACTACATCACTTCATTACTGCTGTTCGTCCATCTCTTGGAGGTTATCCCCCACTTGTAACGCTGTCTGCCTTTTGCTATCTCTTATTCCCCAAACTCCAAGAATTGATACGTTTTAGTTTTTTGTTAACTACTACATACCCCGCTTCCCCATANTTTTCCCCCTTTTTTACCCTGCAGGGGAACAAGGATCGTCACAAAATTCATCCCAAACATTTCTTTTCTTTGGGAGGCGCTGTGGGGGAATGGTAAAACACCCCTTTTGTAAATCCTTTTTTTCTGGGTTAAATGTCATGGAACCTTTTTTTTTTTCCCAAAACCTAACCCTCCTTTCCTTTTTGTCACCCTTAATGGCTTTAAAAGTCCTGCAAGTATGGCACCAGTTGATGTTGCCCAACATCCTTTTATGGCTGATTGGTCAAAAAAAATTTGAAAAAAAGATATAAAACCGAACAAAAAAGGTATTTATTAAGCTTCACAATAAAACAAATACAAAAAAAAGGGAAAACTTTCGGTTTTCAAGTCTTTATTAGCCCCATCAAAAATAAAAACAATCCCCCAAAACAAATCCCAAAAAATCCAAGCGGGTATCTCGAAGCGGGGGAAATGACTTCTCAGCAGGCGCAAAAAAACATGGGGGCCCCTATGGTAAGGGGCCGTTAACGGGGGGTTTGAGAAAAAAACTAGGTGGGCATTTCAACCCCTAGGATTTAAAATTTAAATGTTTTGGCAGTTTCGTATCGTATCTTTAAAAAACCAAAAAAAAATTTCCCAAACTTGGTTTTTTTTTTAACTGCCTGAGGGCCCTGTTTTTAAAGGGGGTTTTCCTTTGGGGTCTTATTTATTTATTTTCCTTGTGGTGAGCACTTTCACCTGAGTTTTTTCTTTTTGTTGCAAAGGGTTCGGGTTTGGGGAGCCGGGTTTTCCTTTTTTAATTTGGGTATTCGTTTAGTTTTTTCCCATCGTCCACCCTGTGTTACCCCAAAGGTACCCCGTGGGCACACCGCCACGAAAAAAAACTTCCCCCCATACTGAGCCCCAAAAACCCCCCCCACGGGAACGTTTTCACCAATCTTTTTGGGGCCAGCCTTGATAAGTAGGGGGAGGAAACAAAGGTTGCAAAAAAATTAAAAACGCCCCAAAATTTGCAAAAGATATTGTATAGCTAATCGGAAGAGGGGAGAGACAGATAGCTTGCTGGGTTTTAGGAAAGGTCCTTGGTGGGTTGGGGCCCTGCCCCACTGCCTGCTCTGCCTGGGGGGTCTAAAAAAATAGCTGATTTAATTTTAGTTATTTGGGGGGGGAGGGTAAAATTTATCAGGGAGGCTTGGTAGGGGGAATTCCAAAAGGGCCTGGCCCCCTTATTTGAAAATGCCCTTTTGTTGGTTTGCCTCAAAAGCGCGGGTTTCCCTTTTGGGTTGGGTTTCCCTTTTGGTTTTTGGGCTGAAAAGGGTTTATTAATATTGAAACAAAATGGGGGAGGGGCGGGGAGTTTACAAAATGTAATGCATAAAGACTGAAATCCACGAGTGCTGGCCCCCTTCTTGTGCTAGGGCCCTTTAGGGGTTTGCCTCGGAGCTTTGGGTTTGGTTTTTGGGGGTTCGGGGGATTTTTTCTTTCTGAAAATATACTATGGAAATTATTTTAGTTGAATTTTTTAGTTTTGGTTGATTCCCCTTTGTGGTGGAGAAGGAGTGGAGGTGGTACAGGCTGAGGGGGAAAAATTTCCCTTTTTGGAGGACTACATTTGAGGTCAGAAGAGTGAGTGAGAGGTAAATTTCCTCTTTTTTTGGGTGCTTTACTCGTGGATCTGGTCACATCAGTGGGGGGGGGGCTCTCAGATCGTTTTCCCGGGTTCCCCGGTTTGAACTGTTTTCATAATCGCTGGTCTTGTCGTCCCCAAGCTCACACTGAGGCGTTTTCAGTTGTCATATTTTTGGTTTGAGGCTCTAAAGGTGCGAGGGCTCTTGTCTCTCTATTTCGTGGTGTTTACAGTTTAGTAAGAAGTGCTCCATGGATTTGGGGGGCCCTTGCATTCCTCCCCACACAGGAGTGCGGAATCGGTCTGGCCCACCCTAGTCGCATCTTCCACATTTTTCCGAAGGGCCCGGGAATTTTTTGGTCGGTTTAGCCACTTGATTCTTGGATTTTTTTTTTGGGTTTAAAGTATTTGTAGGCAGCTCGGGCCTTTTGGGCGCTGGTCGACCACTTTTGGGGACCTTTCTCTGCAAAAAATTTCTGCTTTGTTTAATCGTTTTTAGTTCAGTTTTGCCCAGTCCCCCCCGGAATAGGGGTTTTGGGCTAACCGGCCCCCTCTTGGGCCCCCTTTTGTTTTCTGCTTCATTGCCCTCAAGCCTAGGGTGTCCCTGGGACCCAAACCCCAATGGTATTTTTGGCACCCCGGCTTCTGAGTCGTGGGAAAATTTGTCGGTTTTCCTTTTTAAATGTCGCCGGTCCTTTCAAAAAAAGTCTTTGGGGCTTGTAGGTTTGATATTTGGGTCAGAAAGGGAAACAGAAGTTTTATGGGGGGCCGTTGGGGGTAGTCCATGTTTTCCAGAATCCCTCCCAAGCTCCCCTGGCGACTGCCATATTTTAGGAGTCGGTATTCGTGTTTTGGTTTCCAGGTGGGTTTTATGAAAACCCCTTCCCCGACTTTTTCCCGTGCGGGTTTTTTTTCGAGCCGTCGGTGTATAAAACCCATGTGTCAATTTCGCGTCACGGATGTATGTTCGACTCTCGCCCTTTTGCATCGAGAAATTTTCTGGTTTGTCTATCACGTGGCGGGGGCTTTCGTCGGTAAAGGGTTTGTTTTTAAAGCTCCCAGGGGGGGATGGCCCGGGGGGGTATTTTTTTTAACCGCGGGTTATGGTGGTGGTGTAAATTTTGGGGAGGGCCTTTTCCAGGGGGCCCGGTCTCGGGAATTTTTTGCATTGGAACGTGACCTTTGACCAGGGTTTCTTGGCGCCAGTGCCTGGAGGGCGGTGGGGGGGGGTCAAGTCCCGTTTGGGGACCCAGTAGCCTTTCAAAGGGTTTTTTCTGCGTATTTTATTGGAATGACCCCAAGGCTACTTCCATGGTTTTTAAACTATTTCCCTTTTCCCTTTCCCCCCAGGATGATTCCCATCCCCCCGGGTTTCTGAATAGTGCCCCTAGTGTCTCTTTTTTGGCATCAGAAGAAAGCATCATAACGAGGGAAAAACCGTAATTAAATTTTTGCTTCGGATAAATTCCTTTAAAAATTTAGTAGGTCTTTGTGTGTGCACCCCGCCGGACCCTTTTTGATTTCTTTTGGGCAGGTTTTTTTTTTGCTCTTGCTTTCTTGCGACATTTTTGTTAAAATGTGCCCGCCCCCAGTTCATTTGGGATGGGGCAGCTTTTCCCGAAATGGTTTGTATTTTTCCTCTGAAATTCTTTGACCTTCTATTTCATGGGGGTTCCCAAAGTTTTCCCCCGTTCTTACTTTTTTCCCCAATTGAAAATCATCTGGGGGGTTTTGGGTTGGGTTGAACGAAATCCCCACTTCTCCACCCCACCTTGAAACGTTTTTGGGGTTGCCCCTGCATTTGGTTTCTGGCTACCCTTTTGGTTGGGAAACCCCGGAGCACCAGATGGCGCATCGTTGGCGTATTGTGAAAACCCTGACTTTTTTTTTCCTCCTATGGCCTCCCCCCGGGCCCTTAACAAAGGATGGAGAAGATCACCGGGGAAATCCCAAACCCTTGGGGGGTCCCCGTTCTTTTGCAGGGGGTTTTGCCGATTTTTGCGTTTCGCACTATAACTAAAGTAGGTTTTCGGTTTTTGGGGGAAACTCTTGTTTGTGGGTTGACTTTTTCCCCACAATTCCTACTACACTATTTCCTGATGGCGGTTCCCCTCCAGCAAGTGTCAAAGGCCCCGGTGGGGCCCAAGAAAGATGGCGATTTTTTTCTCTCCTCTTAAAAAACCCCTCTCTTGACGGATCCTCGATTTGTCACCGGGTCAATCGAGGACTTTTTAGCTCTGAATCCGGACTGGGTGCAGTTTTACTTTTTGGGTTTTTTTCGAGATGGAAATTTTTTTCTTCTAGTGCCCAAAGGTCCCCCATCATTTTTCCTAGGGGGGGAGGTCCGAATAGGTCTGTTTTAGCCCCAGTCTTGGTGTCCCTTTGGGGCTTGGGTACTGGTATGACCGTGGCGTGTTTCCATTGTTGTGGGATTGTCCTTCTGTCCATACATCGTTTGAAACAGACTCGCCGTTGAGCACTTCGAGTATTTTTGTGGGAGCATTTTTATTAGTTGTAACTCAGAATGTCTGCCCCTGCTGCTGTGCTTTTTTCCGCCTCTGACGCTGAGGTGACCTGGCGATTGTGATGTCGGTGTCGAGTAATAATCTTTATGTCTGGGTTCGGCTTAAGTTTCTCCCATTTTCAAAGGATTCGTTCTCGTCTCCCCCTCTCTGTTGGGCGAGCTCTTCTGTTTAGCTGTCTCATAAAAGAATTGTCCCAACATATCGGCCTTTTCTTGTCCTGTGATCCCATGCTCGTGTCTTATTGTTGGGGATTCGAGACGACTTTTTGTTCCCTTGATGCCTTGTTTTGCCCCCA